AAATATATTTCGTATTGGTGGTCCAATTTTAATCGTTTTTGGTACGATCAGTTGTTTACTCAGTTGTATCATATTCAGACAAAGAAATCTTCGTAAAAATCCTTGTACAATATATTTTTTGTCATTTAATTTATCTAATTTATTACTTATATATTCATCATTATTACCTGTAATGCTTGAAACAGGTTATAATATTCAACCAAGTTCATATAGTCTTATTCAATGTCGTTTTCGTCTTTATGCATTATCATTATTCGATTGTTTAAGTTCATTTTATTTGATTTCTAGCTTCGATTGATCGAATGTATGTTACTTCACCAAATGTTCATTTACGAAATCGAAGTAATAATTGTTTTGCTTATAAATCTATTATAATTGGTACATTATTTTGGATGATATTTAGTAGTCATGCATTAATCTTTCGAGAAATTGTACCAAGTATAACAAATGATATTACTTGTAATTTTAAACCAGGTATTTATATGATATTCTTAGCTTATTATTCATTGGTTAAAGGTATTTCAGTACCTTTTCTTATGATACTTTTTGGATTATTGGCTATAAAAAATATTCGACGTTTATGTCGTATTAATGTTGTTACTGACGGAAGAAATAATTCATATGTTCCATCATCAAAAGATAGAAAACTTATTTATATGGTACTTATGAATATTATTGTATATATTCTCTTTGATTCAATAAAGACACTATATCTTATGTATGAGCAAATTACACAATATCATATAAAGAATGATTTACAAAAACAGATGGATAATTTCTTTAGATCAATTGGTGGATTTAGTCTTTATATTCGATTTTGTATTTGTGGTTACATTAATTTACTCGTTTCTGGAAGTATTATTCGTGAAGAAATAAAAAAAATATTTTTATGGAGAAGAATTTTTCATTAAACTTAAACAAATTATTTATCAATAAAATATGAGATGAACTAACATTTAACATAATAATATTTTGATGTTGTATATTTTTCTTATGTAGTTTTAAAAGTTTTACTATTCATATAGATTGTAAATATAAGAGATTCCAGTGGAAAATTCTTACTATAATAATCTTTTATTTCATACTAAATGAAAGAAAATGTTTTAGGACAAGTATTAGAAGTTTAACATAAATGTTTATATTGGTTTTTATATGAAAGCATTCTAATATCGACGCCAGAATATAAGGCATCTGATTGTCTGTTAAATAGCTTTTGATAGGAACAAGATAGAGACCTGTGGTTTTCAGCATTTGATAGCCAAGATCCAAGAGCATATTTTCATAAGCAAAAACTTTTCTGAGAAAAAATCCGAAGTTTGGTTTTTCAAAGGATCTTTGAAAAACCACGCTGACGTTTTGAGAATTGTCTTAGAAGTCTATTGATTTTTTACGTATTCGGAATCAGCATCAAAAACTGCATCGACTCATATATTTTTCTAGTCTTTTAACGAAACTTTTTTTCGTCGAAAATTTACCTCTAGTCATCCTCAGGACCACGTCAATAAATGAATTCAGTCAAAAAATGACAAAGGACGAATTTTTCGGCGGAAAAAAAATTTCGTTAAAAGATTAGAAAAATATATGAGTCGACGCAGTTTTTGATGCTGATTCCGAATGTTTAAAAAAATCAATAGACTTCTATGACAATTCTCAAAATGCCAGCGTGGTTTTTCAAAGATTCTCTGAAAAACCAAACTTTGGATTTTTTCTCAGAAAAGCTTTTGCTTATGAAAATATGCTCTTGGATTTTGGCTATCAAATGCTGAAAATCATAGGTCTTTATCTTGTTCCTATCAAAAGTTATTCGAAAAACAACTGAGTGCCTTATATTTTTGCCCCGATAGTAGTTTCATTTAAATGGAGTGCACATTATATTGATCAATCTACTGATGGTTTATGGGTGTTATGGATTTACTGATTGTCAGTTTAGTTTACTAAAAATTGTCATTTATTTAATTTTGATATTGATTTATTAATGATGTACAATAGTGAAGAAAAAGCTTCGCTCTAGAAAAATGTCAGTCATTATAAAATACTGAATGGCTTGCCTCAAAAGAGCACCAGATGATTTTTCTTCATATCAACAATTATAGTACGTAAAATGAACTTCAATGAAATTAGTTGCATGGATAGCTGGAATTATAACACTAAATAATGAGCTGTTAGCTGGCCTAGAAAACTACTGAATATTATGATCGATACTTTGTCTACTTTGATGATCGCAGTTATATTTACATACGAATAGATTATACAGTATTTAAATAAAGAATTTCGAAAAAATATACATATAGAACTTTTTGTAAGTTTATACTCTATATTTTATGTTAACTGTTATTCAAATTTACTTGTAACAAAAATCTTTCGACGTAAAATTAAAAATATTTTTTTTATAAAAGTGTTCACTTAACTTTCTTCGTTCTAATTTTTTATCAGATATTTTAAAATTAACTTTCTTTCAATATGAAACTATCATTGTAATTTGACGTACTATCGATCATAACTTATTTCATAAATTGAAATGTAACTCAATTTTTGTAAGTTGACACTTAATATTGGACCTGTTGCTTGATTAAATCTCAAAAAGGCAATACAATTTGATCCGCCATTGATCATTATCTGAATAGAGAAATATAGTTTAATGTTTTTTTTCTAAAGAAAATACCTACGATTGAGTTTGATGTTGGAATAAAACAAAAAAAACCTATGATCTTCATTACAGCGTGGTGCAAGGATTGTGAATTATTTTCATCGGCTAGATTCTGTCTGGTCAAATTCAATAATCAGAAATAACATAGTATGAAATTCAGAAAATTCGGCCATTATCAAATAATTTTGAAATCTTCTGATTTATTAATATATAACTTCGTTGCTTTTTTCATTTTTAATAGAATAAAGGACATTATAGAATGTTGTCAATTGAATAATTCTATAACTAAACAAACAAATAAAATATATCAATATTTTTTCTGTTAGATAACAATAAACAAATAATAATAAGATCTAATTTTTGATTTCATAAAAAATGATATGTTGATTATCTATCGAAAATATTTCTTTTGTTGTATGTCCTTCGAAGCTCATCAAATAAACATTACTCATATTGTTAAAAGAAACAATATTAACAGCATAATTAGTAGTTTAATATACATTCATACTAACGCAAATCCATAGAATAATATTTATATAACATAACTGATATTTTGACATACTATCAAAAGGCTTTCGGTACAATCTAAACTTATAGAACATTGACGTGCTTAAACTGATCGACCTAACGAAAGTGCAATGTTTATAAAGTATTACTCATCATTTGATAATTGAATATATACTCTATGCAATAATAAATGGATTTTGTTTCCATTTATATGTTTTTCAATAGGAATAATATTTAGTATTTGAACTTATTTATTTCACCTTGAAGTTGTTATTCAAGTCTTGATTGTTGAAAACGATTCATTTTTGTTTAATAATAATACTTTTGAATGTAACCATTCAAAAGTATTTTAATAGTTAATCGAGCAAATATTCTATCATAATTCAAATAAATCAAATTGATTATCATGAAATTGCATGTTTATAAACTATAAAATACAATCATTAACATAATTATATTGATAGTATTTTTATTGAAATATTTATTTGAATATTCATAATAAATGATTGAAAACCATTTCCGAATGATTTTTTTATGCCAATCATTAACGCATATCATTTGTTTATCTTTTATCTGTAGCGTTTGATCTTCAATCGACCAGACACTCGGATCTTATGAACAATAGTAGCTGTCTGCTCAGTCATTTCTTTCTCTTTTATATCAATCCATGTTCTAAATAAAATAGACATGACTGCAATGATGAAATAGTGCAATCAACATCTATACCAAGGATGGCAATAACACTATCCCTTCAGTTTATTATTATTGATGACAATAGAATACATGCTGCATTAATATCTGTCTCATTTTCATCAGATTTACGAATATCAAGATTAATATTTGTATCAAAATGGAATAAAATATAGGATGAGATAGATTTCTAACAAGAAGAGAATGACTTAGTGATATATGGAAGAAGTAACTATATACAGAAATAAAAAACAATGAATCTCAATATTGTTTATTTATTTATTTATCAAGTTGAATATTTTTAATTAATTAATGAATATTATCTTTATTAGGGTTCTTATTTAAATATTTATTTCATTTTAAAATATAAAATTAAATAAGAATATGAAAACATATTGAAAATAAGATACAGGGTGTCCCAAAAGTCACTTTACCGAGAAACAATTCCATATCTCCACTAAATGTGCTATCAAACGGACTGATTTTTTACCAATAATAGAGGGATGTTCAAGCTTTACATCCATAAAGACATGCCTAGAGAGATCCTTTGTTAAACATATTGTTTTTTTTCTATCCGCGAAAAAGTAAAATTTTTTTGTTGAGATCGATAATAGTAGTTAACAAAGAGTCACCCTAACTGTTTCAATATTATCGGTTAAAAAATCAGCTCGTTTTGCTAGCACCTTTAGTGGTGATATTGAATTGTTTTTTGGTAGAGTGACTTTTGGGACACCCTGTATTCTTAAATTAATTTCATATTTATTTATTTTGTTTTAAGAAATATTTTAATGAATTTGACTAGATTATTTTTGAATAAAAACCGATTTTTATATGTATTATTTATATGAAAAAAAAATTCATAAAGTATTTTTTTTTATTTTTCTTGGATTGATAATCAATACTATTCAAAATATTCATTAAGTAATTCATAATGTTTTAAGAAGTAAAAATATAATAAAATTTGACTCAACTTCTATTCCATGCGATTCCAACTGGACAAAAATCGCTCGTTATATTGTGCGCTATACCAGCGGTATTTGTCGCTAGTGACAAAAACACCACCGATAGCATAGTCAATCAAACGATGATAGTTTAATACTTGCGCAATCGGTTATCTTCTGACCACATTCTATAATGGTTTATCGATAGTGGTTATCGAACCGACAATCTACTATCAGAATCAGAGATGGAACTAGTCTGAATAAGTCAGAACGGACCGAACCAATCGGTCTACGCGCAGTAGTGCGAAGAAACGTGCAACATATTATTTAATTGATTTTGTTGAGTTTTTTTGACAAAAAGTCATATTGATGAATAAACAAATAATAAAATATCAAATAACGATTTTTTTTAAATGAAAACAAATAAAACTTATGTTTTTCTGGCAATTGGTGAGTAAAAATAGAAACAATAAGAAGTGGGTTAAATCGACAATTTTTCAAGACTGAAAGCCACCTTCACCCATCTCCTCCTTCGATATTATTGTTTGCTGTGTGTCAAATTTTCTTTTTGTCTAAATATAACAATTGAATTTAATGTTTTTGTTGAATATTTTTTGTGTCATTAAAAATTATTTATTCTTTATAGATAAAATATTTTTTGATTCGTTTTACTATTTGTGTATTTAGAAATGAATAAAGATTTATATCATCATATTAAAAACAAAAACTTCAATAGAAATATGATTGTCATTTATGTACTGAGTAGCTGTCTTTATTTTATAAAATAATGTAAAAGGTGAAAAAAAACAGTATTTGACGGAAATATAAAAAAAGATTTTCGTGTTTAAAGACGTTTTACATGTCATAACAGTATAATAATAAGAGGTTTGAAAAGTGTTTTTAACTACAGTTTAGATCTATCTAAAAGGTTAAAAACTGTTCAATTGAATTGTATAATTGATTGTCAATTTAGCTTAATTGCGCTACACGTTCTTTTTGTTTTTGAATTTGTTCACGGATAGCTTGTGGTAAATCATCACCTAATTGACCATCAAGCCATTGTAATGTTTCATCAATATCACCAACCCAATAAGCTTTTGGTAATGCCATTAATTTATCCCAATCA